TGAAATCTTCTGATGTGTCAATCTTTGGTGGCTGCCTGTGCTTCTGGGGTGGCCATGCCCTGTGGAACTTACTTCAAGTAGATGACCAGCAGGAACGATCCCTGCCTTCTTTAAGATGTCTTTTGAAAACTGTACTGTTTCACAGGCTTTTGGACTCTCTGTCTTTGTCTCTCTCCGTTTCACCAACCAGACTTTATTGAAATTTTATATTTATTTATCTCACAGTAGTGTATATGGCACGCACATTCATAAAAGTGTAGCAAGGTAGTATATAACATGCAAGATTATAATAAAATCAGTAAAAAAACCCCATAAATTAAAACATCAGTAAAAAACATCAATAAAACAGTAAATAGTGGCACATTCTTTTATTGATGTTATTGTAGAAGTATTTTGAACATTGCCTTGTTATTTCTTTTAATGAAAGTGCAGCTTATAAATATTTGAACAAACAAACAATGAAAGCAAGGAAATTGACACCTGAAATGAATGCAGTGCTGCATCTTTGTGTGCTAAGTGCTTTCATTTATATCCATCCCTGTTTCTTATTCCAGCATTGTGAATACCAAGAGGAAAAGGAACACTATATTTTCCTTCTTTATCAGCATAATTTATAGGGCACAATTTCCAGAACTGCCATTTCTGCTTATTCTCCATTTTTCCCCCTTCCTCAGCAAAATAATCATGAACATTACTCACAAGCAGCAGTTGGAAATTAGCAACCCTCCCACCTTTCCCAGCATCAGAGGAATTGCGCTCAAATTAGATTCTTTTACATATTAATTTCCCTCTGTCCGCTCCAAACGCTTTGCATTGGTATATGAATCGTATTAATAATGCCTTTCACTTTGCCATAATTAAATCTGACAAGCAAGCATGCCAATATAAATTCATCCAGTCTGTAGTGTAATCTGAAAGACGAACCAGAGTTTCCTGCTTAAAGTGAAGCAGTATAACGGTATTGGTGGGGTTGGGGGAAAGACACATCTCTGGGATAGTGAGATGACCCCATTCTGTGGTTTCTGAATCCTCTTAAATTAGTCGTCATTGTTTCAAACCTAGCAGCATCCTCCCAGCCATCTGGCTAGATCACCCTCCAGAGGACAAATCAAGTGTCAAGAAACAGTCTTATTCTATGGGGAAATAAACTACTGCATGTAAGTTAGAGTTCTGACCTTGTCAGAAGCAAAATAAGTCAAGAGTATTTTATCTTCCTCTGCTTTGGCATCACTGTATCCTCATTTTAAGGGATTCTTTTAAAAAGCAATGCTCAGGACTTCTTCTTTTGCCTCTTACGGAACGTGTGTGTGTGCATGTGTGGGGGCGTGGCTGTGTGCTCATAAATATGGCTGTTGCAACATGCAAGGTTAAAAATGCCCATTTCAAATTTCAGATTGAATTTTAGGTCCCAGACGTAGCTACAGATTTGTATGTGAATGCATCAGGTTTCAAAGGTGCAAAGTAGGGATAAGTCATAACAAAATCTTATGTATTATGGGAAGGAACAACTAAGCTAGGGCATGGAAAGGAAGGGATTGGTTGAAAGAGGATGCTATGCATTCGGTCTTCTGGCACATTATTGAGCGAGATGGGCTACTGTGCCGGCTCAGTTTAAGGCTGCTTCCTATTTGCCATCTGAAATAGCACCACGAGCATCAGATCCATCAGGTGTGGTGTATGTCCCTCCTAGAGACTCCTCATCAGTTGTCAGGATGACAAAGTTGATAATCCGGGTCCCCAAGTGGCTAAGCACTCACTGTCATCAGTCACTGCTTGGTAAAGGACCATTTGTGTTTGCCCATTTCCCGTTGACTTTGTTTTGCTCTCTTCTGGCTTGCCTGCTGTAAGCCCCTGTGGGCAGCAACTGTGTCATTTTGAAGTTAGGCGCAGTTCCGAGTGCACCATCAGTGCTTCGATAAATATTTAGTGATGGCACTGGCAGTCGTAATTTGCACTTCAGTCCTTTAGAAATTGGCTGCCGTCTCTTACATTTGCAAATGAAGGATCCAAGAAGTTCTAAGGGAGTGCTTGTGTGTGGTTGAGTTAAGCCATAAATAAGATTTAGTAGCGTATTCTAAGCACAAAGCACACAGCTTTCCGCAACTCCTATTAATGCTGGGCTAAAAATATAGCCCAAAGCAAGAATCTGGGATAAATACCAGATGTGGGAAATAAAAGGTATGTTTGAACCTATCCTTCATGTGGACACCTACTGTCTCACAAAACTCCTTCCCCAGCTCTGTGTTTTATAGACTGTTCATTCCTTTCTTCTCTTACAACTAAAGCTCATTCTGGGCTGGTGTTTCTCTGAGACAGATTATACATGGTGGAGTGCCTTGCTGGGCAAGGGGATAGCATGTTGAGCATGAATTCACACCTCGCTAAAAGAATCTTGATGCAAGTGACTGCACCATTACATATAAAATTTATCTTTCTTTTTCTTCCATTTTTGGAGAGGTTGGTCTATGAATGGGTGGTATTTAAATGTGTTTTAATCAAAGTAGACCCATTGAAATTAATGAACATGCCTAAGTTAAGTCTATTAATTACACCCTATTCAGAGCAAAACTTTGTTGAATGCCGTCCAAGACATAGACTTGCATGTGTGCATTGGTAGAGCTCTGCACAATCTGATCATTGTCAAGATTGGTGTTTAACTATTGTATTTGCAGTATTTTATGAAGAGGGACGCGGGTGGAGCTGTGATCTAAACCAGAGAGCCTAGGGCTTGCCAATCAGAAGGTCGGCGGTTCGAATTCCTGTGATGGGGTGAGCTCCCGTTGCTCAGTCCCACTCCTGCCAACCTGCAGTTTGAAAGCACGTCAAAGTGCAAGTAGGTAAATAGGTACTGCTCTGGTGGGAAGGTAAACAGCATTCCCGTGAGCTGCTCTGGTTTGCCAGAAGTGGCTTGGTCATGCTGGCCACATGACCCGGAAGCTGTCTGCGGACAAACGCTGGCTCCCTCGGCCTATAGAGCAAGATGAGCATGCAACTGCAGAGTTGTTCACGACTGGACCTAACGGTCAGGGGTCCCTTTACCTTTACCTTTATGAAGAGCATAAGGAGAGTCTGCTAGCTCATCTTGTCCAGCATCCTGTTCTCACAGTGTTCAACCAGAAGCCTGTGGGAAACCCACAAGCAGGACCCAAGCACAAGAGCACACTGCTCTCCTGTGGTTTCCAGCAGCTGCTGGATTATCTGACTATGGAGGAAGATCAGCATCAATGATAGCCTTCACCTCCATGAATTTGTTTAATCCTCTGTTAAAGCCTCTTGCTGATGTATGCATTGGTAATTCAGAAGAAAGAAAAATGCAAAGGAGCTCAAGTAATTGAAAGGTGCACCACCCTGTAATTAAACAGTGTTCTGTACTATATTTGAAAATTAATCTTGAAACAATGGTATTTTTTTTACTTTTAAAATGCAAAGGTGGGCAGTCCTGCTTATGGACCTGCCATGAACACCTGATTGGTCATTATGAGAAAATATGAGAAAAGAATGAAGGACATATGGGCCCTTAGCTGGATGCAGCAAGGCATTTTATACTCATGTGGTAAGAAATGGGAAGAGCTTACAAACGGACTGCTGCACTACCAGAAAGAAGAATTGACTGCTTCATCACTTCTATAGTTAAGACTGGCAACTGCCTGCAAGTTTTGCCAACACTTCAAGAAAGGAAATGAGCTCCTTAAAAGGGCTCAGTCAGATTAAGCCAGGCTAGGAAACAACAATGAAGGGAGAAGTGGAGAACTATACATGTTCATCTGGAGCAGTTCTCAGGAGAGATTGATTTGGCGACAGCTTGGGAAAAGATGACTTCTATGGCAGCAAAAGTGATTAAGAAGGGAACTCAAGGACCATCTTGCTCTGAAGGGAGTAGAGAGAAGACCAAACAGCACGGAGAGATGCCCATTATCTAATTCCCAGGGTTTTGGTTGAGGTGGCTTTACCCTCCTTTAACTTCCACCACAGAGCTACTCAAGAACCATCCTAGCTAGAGGGGAGGAGAAATGTTGCTTTCAATAACTCACCACCCAGCCACACAAACTCTTACAGATTTCTTTGACTATTATAGTATATAACTTTAATTGATATGCATTGTTTTATGTTCCCATGCCATCTGCTTTATGATCATCTCCTAAAAAGCATATATAAATATTTCAAGTAAAACAAAGCAAGTGAAAAAGAAAATAATATATTTCTTAATGTCCCCCCCTTTCTTTGCAAATCAGAACGTTTGGCTAAGGATTGAGTAGAATCGTGCTCACTTATGTGCCATAGGACTGCATCCATACATAGCTGCCCAGCTACTGATCTCATTCTCAAAAGCCCTACTTGTGTGCCCAGTTGTGAAGTCAATGCATTTGGCAGTCTTAAGAAACAAGACTTCCACTCTGGTGGCCCCCAGATTATGCAACTCCCTCCCATCAGAGGTACACATGGCCTCTACACTGCAGCTGCTGCTGTTTTAAAACTATTTTTTTCAAGCTTTTTGTAAAATAAGGTTTATTCTGTCCTTTTTGAATAATGGTTAATAATTTGGATACCTGTATCAATTTTGAGATTATTTATACCTTCTCTGTTTTTGAGATATTGCGAGCTTTCTTGGGTGGGCAATGCAGCTTTTCATTTACCGTATCTTTCGCTCTATAAGACGCACTGTAAGATGCACCAGACCATAAGACACACCTAGTTTTTAGAGGAGGAAAACAAAAAAAAGGCAGCAAGAGACACAGACACGCTTGCTCGGCGTGGCTCCCGGCTTTTCCAGGAGGTGGGAGAAGGGACTGACAGGCTGCCCTCTGTACCTTCTCTCACTCTTGCTCTGCTGGGTTCAGCAGAGCAGTGCAGCGCCTCTTCAGCGAAGTGGGAGGAGGAACCGAAGGGAGCCCTTATGGACCCCCTTCCGTTCCACCTCGCACTTCGCTGAAGAGGCGCTGTGCAGCTATCGCTGAAGCCAGCACAGCAAGAGTGAGAGATGTGCAGCACCTCTTGGTCTGCTGGCTTCCCAGCAAAGCAGGATGAGGGATGGAAGGTGCTCCGTAAGGAAGGGGCTCCCTTCCGTTCCTCCTCCCGCTTCACTGGGAAGCCAGCAGAACAAGAGGCGCTGTGCAGCTCTCACTCTTGCTCTTCTGCTTTAGTGATAGCTGTGCAGCCTGCATTCGCTCCATAAGACGCACACACATTTCCCCTTACTTTTTAGGAGGAAAAAAGTGTGTCTTATGGAGCAAAAAATACGGTGATCATTCATAATTGAACAAATGGAAAGGAAGGCTCATAAATGTATGAGTCAAAACTCTTAATTGTACTCATTCCTACAATGTGAGGGGCCTATCTTTTTGCAGTGGTAAAGGCAGAAACTGCTTAGACAGTGCTCCCCATCCTACAGATATCTAGATGTCTTCATCAGTGTCCTGGCTGCCTACAGCTCCATGCTGAATGTGTGATTATGTTCTCTGGGCTCCATAAATATGTATGCAAAGTCTACCAGTCTGAGCCCGGTGACATAACTGGAATGACAATATGAAACGTCATAACCACAATAATCCCAGCCTTTATCTCACCCTTGCGTTTTATTTTCTGGAATGGATATTTAAGTGAACATTAGCAACCCAATGGCTTCTAACAGGCCTTCAAAGCTATTAGGCTATATTATGCAAATATGTGTTTAGGGAGATTTCTCCACTCTTCTATAAGTGGTTACAGCCTGCTGTGGAGAGAGGGAGAGAGGGGACAGGAGGCTTTCAGGATACTTAATATGCAGGTTTCATTCTGGGGTCCTAAATGATCTAAACCCGTTGCTCAAATAACTCCTGTTCAGCTGGACTACATACTAAGAATTTTCTATTACTAATGATGCTAGTAAAAAAAAGAAGAAGGGGGGGGGGACACAATTATTGTTCTCTAAGCAAAAGGATGCACTGTTTTCCAAACAGCCATGCAACCTTGCTTGTTATCTTTATCTTTTATATAGAGATTTTATTTAATAAAAACCAGCAGGTATCCCTATTTTATTCCACAGGGACAATCTCAGCTTTTGGAGCTCTCTTCTGGCTAAGTAAGAGGCATACTTCATTTTACATCAGCGGTCAGCAGTGTCAGGAAGCTGCCAAGTCTCATTTCCAGCAGGGCACCCAAAGCTAATCTGCAGAGTCCCTTCCTAACTGCAGTCACCACTTGTTCATCAACCTATAGCATAATGCCTGTGACATCCGGTTTGGCCTTTGGTAACCCTTAGGAATGGGTGAATCACTCAATCTCAGTTTCTCCTTTTTCCAATCTTAATTGCAGTTCATCACATTTCTGTATCAGATCACCCCATTTCTGATTTTCCTTTTAAAAAATCCTGATGCACAGGATGGCTCAGCTGATAGAGCATGAGACTCAGGGTCGTGGGTTCAAGCCCCACTTTAGGCAAAAGGATTCCTGCATTGCAAGGGATTGGACTACATGGCTCTCATGGTTCCTTCCAACTCTACAATTCTGTGATTCTGTGACTTATCCTAAATATACACATCCTGGCTACACCCATGCATCACATCAGAATGATATGATAAATACAGTGGTACCTCGGGTTACATACACTTCAGGTTACAGACGCTTCAGGTTACAGACTCCGCCAAACCAGAAATAGTACCTTGGGTTAAGAACTTTGCTTCAGGATGAAAACAGAAATCATGCTCCGGCGGCGCAGCGGCAGCGGGAGGCCCCATTAGCTAAAGTGGTGCTTCAGGTTAAGAACAGTTTCAGGTTAAGAACGAACCTCCAGAACGAATTGAGTACTTAACCCGAGGTACCACTGTACTATTTATTTAGTTACCTGTTTATTTAGTTTTATTTATTTAGTTACCAAAAGCATTTTTACCCCACTGTTTCACTGAAAAGTCACCCTGAGCAGTTTCCAAACAAACATAGTAAAACAGTCCCAGCTCTCAGGCTTGTAAATCTAAAATACACAGTACAAAAGGAAAATGGGCTGGTCTGGGTGAAGGAAGAATATCAATCACAGGCATGTGTTCTTAAACCTACAGTTCTTAGAATGGTCAACCATTCAGGGAGAATGGCTGTCCCCTGGTGACTGTTGAGGGAAAGCCAGATGGAAATAGACTCTCAGCATGGATGATGGGATGCCTTGTTTCACTTCTTTCCTTATGCTCTTCAGCCTGGTGGTATGGCTGCTGCTAGGTGGCTGTTCATTTGAAATCTGATGATGGATTTGGGGTGTCAAATATTGACTCTGAAAGGTCAAATACCATGCTTTGAAACATGTCTTTGGGTTTTAAGTAGGAGGCTTAAGACTGAATAACTCATGTTTGCTTATCTACTCTAGCCTCAGGATTTCCTGCAATGGATTTTGAATGAGTTCTTTTATTTTTCTTCTCTGCCCAGTAATATTCCTTATAAAGCCCTTGGTAATAGAGGCAATCTAAGGTCACCTGTTGATTGCATGATGGTCATTTTGCAGAGAGGATGCAGGAAATAAACTACAGAAAGTTGCAAGGTAGTATACCTGTGATAGGTAGGGGTGTCAGATAATTTCAACAGAAATGGAATTGGAATTAGGCAATGCCACTTACTTACTCATCCCATGCCCAGAATGGAAATCAATCCAGTGAATGCAACTGGGATTCACTGTTGCTGTCATTTTCAATTTGCAAATGATACACAATAGATTACTTCGTTTTCCCATTTGCATTGCATTTCCTTTGCACTGAAATGAACCATGTAGAATAATGTAATGATAATGTAATTAGTTACATAATTAATTATGTAAAATTTCACCACAGTGGATTGAAGAAGGCAGAAACTGAAACGTTTTGCCACAGAAATAAGAAATATTCTGTTTTGTTAATCACAGCAACATTAATTTAGAGATTAACTGAATCCTAAAAGAGATCCAGAGCAACTGTAATGGCTTGAGTCTCTCCCACAGACGCGAGACAACTTCGGCAGTGATTTTCTCAGATTTATTACTCAAACACACAAATCATTACAGAGCTTAGTCACTCAGCGTCCTCCTCCGAGTTTGCAGTTGCTGAGACTGAGATCTGCCCCTTCCTCCTCCAACAATAAAGCCCCCACTTTCGCTTTCTTTCCCTTTCGCGCCTCCCGCAAACTATCTCGAGCCTACGAGTTTTTGGATAGGCTATTTCCGGTTTCCCCGACTTTGAGTCTGAGCTTAAACTGACAGACTGTGTTTTCCCCCTTGGATTCCCCCATCCCTGCTCTCTGTTCTCGGAGAACAGGTTACTACTGCAGCCTGCCTCCTCTTGTCCATTTCCGCATTCCAGACTAATCTCTTCTCCCTGCTTGCCAGCGTTCTCAGCCGCTGTCAGTGACGGGACGTAGCTGACAGCAACCTTGCAAGAAGTGCTGCTCCACGCTTTTCTCTCCCTCTCCCTCTCCCTCTCTCTGTTTCTCCCTCTCTTTCTAACACACACACAGAAAGAGTGAGAGTGAGTGAGAGAGAGAGAGATGAAAGGAACGAGAAGAGCATATATATATATATATATATATATATATATATGTATTTGGAAAATGTGTGGAGAGCAGAATATTTGGCCTTGAGCTCCTCTTTCTGAGTGACAGCTCAACCTGCTACACAGGTCATCCTTTCCACCTGTTATTCCTGTTTGAAAAATAAAGTATTTTGTTTCTAGCAGCAGTGCAATGTAGAATTTAAAAGACGTTTTGTTGATTTTTAAAATTTGTTTACACCTGGAGGAAAATCACAAACATCAGAATTTTCTAACATGCTTCCACTTCTACAGAAACAAAACCAAATTCGAGGAACACATTGTCCTACTTTTATGCTAGGCTGTGGTTTGACAGGTTCCAACCCCTTATAAAAGTGTCTTGATTCTATTATTTCATAGAATGAAAAATATTCTCATGCATCTTTTACTTGCTCAGAACATGTGTCTATACATATCTGCAAACTATTGCTCTGTGTTCAGGGGGTAAGCTCTTCTACAACATGAACAAGTACAGGGAATTTAGTTCAAATATGAGAAGGGAACCAATTCCCACTGCAGCTTTGGCACTATTCTGTTGGAACACAGCTGCTGTCAGTCTGGTAGAGTAGTCCAGAAACTATCATATTTGATTAATGCATAGGGGCACAATGTGAGTAACTTGGGTAGTGTAGCCTTGGCAGTGGAGTGCCCTTGTAAAATAATCAGGAAAGATTAGGACAAAGTATTTTTCCAGAAATGGAAAACTTTCTCAAAAACAAATGGTTAACTGGGAAGGCTGTTGGAGAGGCAGAAAGGGGATGAGAGATGAGATAGCTGCCAGCCAAGGAGGACTGCTGCAACTTCTGGGAAGCAGGAAGTGGAATTTCAATTGGAATTGAAAAACTGATGAGAGCATTAATCATCTCAGGAGGTCCCACGCTAATGGTCCGCCCCCACCACTTAATGGATCCAAATGGTTTCCAGAGAGTGGTAGGGGATGCTTTATCCCATTTTGATGGCCTTTCAGCTGATTCTCTGGTGGCCGCTGGAATGTGGAGTTAACCAGGGCTATTGACTGTTTGGCTCCGAAGCGCCCTCTCTGATTGCATGGAGCCCGGACAGCCCCATGGTTTTCCACGGATCTGAGGGCAATGAAACAATCGTTGAGACAGCTAGAGCGCCGGTGGCGGATGACCCATTCTGAAGCTGACCGGACACAGGTTAGAGCTCAACGTCGAGCCTACCAAGTGGCGGTAGCGACGGCAAAGAAGACTTTCTTCGCCGCCTCTATTGCATCTGCAGAAAACAGCAGCAGGAGACTTTTTCAGGTAGTCCGCAATTTAGCGGAACCACCTGCTACATTGGGGCCCAGTACTGGCCACATGATCTCCTGCAATGATTTTGCAAAGTTTTTTGCAGATAAAGTCGCTCAGATTTGGGAAGAGGTAGACGCCAACGTGGGAGCAGGGCCGGGGCGGGAGAGTGCTAGAGTCCTGTCTAGTCAAATTGCGTGGGATCAATTCCAATCTGTTACCTCCGAGGATGTGGACAGACTGCTTGGACGAGTGAAACCAACCACCTGTCTCCTTGATCCTTGCCCATCCTGGCTTATAAAAGCTAGCCGGGAAGCGCTGGTCGATTGGCTTCGTGGGGTGGTGAATGCTTCCCTCCGTGAGGGAGCCTTCCCAGACCCGCTGAAAGAGGCGGTTATTAAACCGCTTCTTAAAAAACCATCTTTAGAAGCGGCCACGATGGCCAACTATCGCCCAGTCTCAAATCTTCCATTCTTGCGCAAGGTGATTGAGTGAGTGGTTGCTGAACAACTCCAGGCATGCCTGGAAGAAGCGGACCATTTGGATCCCTTCCAGTCGGGATTCAGGCCTCATCACGGGACTGAAACTGCCTTGGTCTCACTGGTTGATGATCTCCGGCGAGCTATAGACAAAGGTGAGAGTTGTTTCCTGCTTCTGCTGGATCTCTCAGCGGCCTTTGATACAATCGACCATAACATCCTTCTGGACCGTCTTGAGGGGCTGGGAGCTGGGGGCACTGTTATACAGTGGTTCCGCTCCTTCCTCGTGGGCCGTGTTCAGAAAGTGGGGGGGGGATGAGTGTTCAGACCCCTGGGCTCTCACTTGTGGGGTGCCTCTTGGTTCTGTCGTCTCCCCCATGCTTTTCAACATCTACATGCAGCCACTGGGAGAGATCATCAGGGGGTTTGGGCTGGGTGTTCATCAGTATGCGGATGATACCCAGCTGTACCTCTCTTTCAAATCAGAACCAGTGAAGGCAGTGACGGTCCTGTGTGAGTGTCTGGAGGCGGTTGGAGGATGGATGGCAGCTAACAGATTGAGACTGAATCCTGACAAGACAGAAGTACTGTTTCTGAGGGACAGGAGGCAGGCAGGTGTGGAGGATTCCCTGGTCCTGAATGGGGCAACTGTGCCCCTGAAGGACCAGGTGCGCAGCCTGGGAGTCATTTTGGACTCACAGCTGTCCATGGAGGCACAGGTTAAATCCGTGTCCAGGGCAGCTGTGTACCAGCTCCATCTGGTATGCAGGCTAAGACCCTATCTGCCTGCGGACTGCCTCGCCAGAGTGGTGCATGCTCTGGTTATCTTCCGCTTGGACTACTGCAATGTGCTCTACATGAGGCTACCTTTGAAGGTGACCCGGAAACTACAACTAATCCAGAACGCAGCAGCCAGACTGGTGACTGGGAGCAGCCGCCGAGACCATATAACACCGGTCTTGAAAGACCTACATTGGCTCCCAGTACGTTTCCGAGCACAATTCAAAGTATTGGTGCTGACCTTTAAAGCCCTAAACGGCCTCGGTCCAGTATACCTGAAGGAGCGTCTCCACCCCCATCGTTCTACCCGGACACTGAGGTCCAGCACCGAGGGCCTTCTGGCGGTTCTCTCCCTGCGAGAAGCCAAGTTACAGGGAACCAGGCAGAGG